ATAAATGTATACACGTGTGTATTTGTGAGTGTGTGTGTGTGTGTGTGTGTATATGAAATATATTTGGCTAATGGAATGAATAGATGGATGGTAGTGTTTTGTTTGCATACGGTTGCTTAACACATTTTACCTCTTAAGAGTGAATAATCCTTCAATGTCTGTTTCTTTCTCTGCCAGTCCTTCAAATAATGCAAAGAGTTTGTGTGTGGGAGAGAGAGAGAAATAAAGAAAGAAAAATAATATTATAGCTATTGTGAGAATTAGAGAAATTTGTTGTCTATCAAATGTCGTTTATTTTTCGCCTTTTTTTTTATTTTTTATTTTTTTCTGCTAAACTTTTAGTTTATTTGAAAAAAGTTTTCTTTTAATCATTTATTTTTTTATATTTTATATTGTAATTTTTATTAAAATTTTTATATTTTAATTTATATTTTTTATTTTCAGATATAACATATAGCGTTAATTTTACTGAAATGATAGAAATGATTAATAATGAATTGTACATCAAATTGGTTTATTTTGGAGAAGAAAGCATTGTGTATAATATTAATATTGGTAATGACATCATAATGGAATGAGTCTGTATTGTAGCATTAATCATAACGTGAAGCATCCATCAGTCTGAAAACAATCACTCAATCACGATTCTTTATTCTATTGCAGAAGATATTGCTTGAAATAAGTGCGAGTATTTGATTTTCTGTTAAAATTTGAAGAATATGTTTAAAATCGACTAAAAATTCGTAAATATTTAACAGCTAATCACAGAAGTTTGTTGATTGTAAAGAAATGGTGGAAAATTACTGCTGAGATGATTGTTTATTTTCAGATTTTTAATATTCATTCGTCTTCTGAAGTTTCGAGATTTTCTTTAGACTTTTTATTGCCACAAAGGCTTTCTTTTTTCTTCTTAAATTGATATAATGTAAAGAGTAACCTTTATAACAAAGTGATAATAAAAATATTTTCCAGTATTATGTTAATAAGTAGTAACGTTATCTAATCAGAATGGTAAAAATTTTATTTGAAGAAGAGTCAAAGTTCAAAGTGTAAAATGATAGCAAAGATGAGAAAGTATGTTAATGGCTAAGATAGCGACAGTAAATGCTAGTAACAATGGTTCGGATTTCGATCAAAGTAGGCTTTTGCACAAGACTGCTTGCTTTATCACAGATGCAAACAGTTGTGTTCTTCATTAGAGCGATTACTACTTTCATCAGTAATCCCTCTTCACTTCGTTATTCATTGCTCTCCCTTTTCTCTTTTTTACTTTTTTGGTCCTGACCTTGACCTTTATCCCTTTGATTTTTTCCTTGCGATCGTTAAGTAAGATAACCCTATCGATGGATGAATGAATACATGGTGATCGGTACTAGAAATGACTACACTAATGATAAAAATTACTGCTGTTTCAAAAATGAAAAAAGTAGTGCGTTAAATTATTGAAGTATATTTAAAATTACTGTTTTCACACTAAAATAATTTAATGTTTTGATTCAAATTTTATTCATATTAATACTCATAATAAATGATTAAATTATATTATTGTTTAGAAATTAATTCATTCCAATTATTGTTTCTTTTGTCAGATGTAAATTTTCTTATTGCATTGAGTCATAATAATGCCTTTATGTAAGTTAATTTTTTAATAACATCTTTTATTACACGATGTATGTATGTTGACGCAATTATAATGTGTATGAAAGCGAAGAAAGAATGCTTTATTCATACTTTTTTCCATTGTGTAATAAAAATGTGTTGATTCAGCTCATTTTTTTCTCCTTCTTATTTTCTATAAGAATGGCAAAGAGAAGAAAAGTTTTTGAAATGTGAACAAAAGTGAAGAATATTATTGTTACTGTTATTGTAGAAAATTTTTATTCAAATAATATTTTAATAATTTATTTTTAGTTGTGATTTTTATGCAAATGTCATCTAATGAAACGATAATTAATATGCTACAAGAAGAATCATTACCAAATCAGCAGCAACAGCAACAAATGCAGAATTTATTGGAAAAACAAAATTTACGGAAGTTACAAGATTTAATTACACGACAGTATCAATCGGTAATAACGAATGCTACTTCAGCAACAATTGATGATGATACAATTCCTTCCTCATCATGTATTTCTACTACTGATCAGCAGCATGGTGATTATTTTCATTCATTATTAAGTATTAAATTTATTCCCAGACTGTAAAAAAATTATTTGAAAAATAATATTTGTAATAAATTAAATTTTTACAAAAAAAAAGTCATGTTCTATTCTGCAAAAGTTGGCTTATATTGTAAGTGCTAGCATTAAATGTGAGTTCTTACTTAGTGGTAGTATTTTTACGTCATAGTGCATCAAAAATTCTTAATATTTTTCGGTAATTTTTTTAATATTGTACCAGAACTTTGTTTTTATTTTAACACAGTATCATTTTTTGACATCAGCATATTTCAGTTAACTATGAAGAGACAATTTATTTTCAGTAGTAACTGCTTGAATTTATAAATGCACTCATGAACTTATATTTAAATATCGAAAATATACTACCAGAAACTTAGCTGTACTTATTATTTCTTAACCACCTTTAGTACATACATCTATTAGCAGTTCATGTTTTTATAGGATATGAGATATAGAATTTAAAAGATAATAGTATTTAGTAAGCCAAATCTTTTGTCATACTTTTGCTATTCATAGCAAGATAAAAAAGGTTATTGATAGGTGGTTCATCAGAAATGCAATTTACATCTAAAGAAACTATAGAAGGAGATCAAGTAGAAGAAGTCAATAAGCATTCAAATGAAATGAAAGAAGTGAATGAATATGTTGCTCAGAAACGGATCAAACGGCCAATGAATGCATTTATGGTTTGATTTCAGTTTTTCATTTCAGGCCAATAATCAAGTTTTAAATAATTTCTGGTATAAATAACTTTAAACAGGAACTAGTAATCTTTGTAATTATTAATAGTTATTGTGTTTTGAATACATCTTGAAAAACTTTTTAAATTCAATAATTTAAGAAAACTCCTATTGTTTACAAGCAAAAATTCTTTCATAGAGAATTTGTTTTGGAAGTTATGACTCGTGAAATTAGAGTCAGACCAGACATGAAGTTCATGCATGAATGGTAAGTTGTGTAGTCTTTGTTCTTATCTTAAAACGATTTTTCATTGTCACATCAACGATGATATTGAAAATTTGTAGTGTTACCAGTTTTTGTGTTTTTGAGGTATGGTCTCAGATGCGACGTGCTCAAATTGCTAGTACAGATGTGAAAATGCACAATTCTCAGATTAGCAAAGAGTTGGGTGCAGAATGGAGAGAAATGAGTGTGGAAGATAAGGCACCATATGTTAAGCGTGTAAGTAGTTTATATATTTTAGAATATGAAAAAATAAAATTGAAAACTTTTATTTCTATTGCTAGTATACTATTTATAGTTTCTTATTTCTTCTATCTATGCAATTTCTCGCAAAGTACAGGGAAAGAAAAAAACAAAAAAATCAACTGACTGATTTCATTTAGACAAAAGTACTAAAATTAATACGTAACATGTCTTAACTTTTATTTGTAGGCAAAAGAATTACGCGAAGAATTGATGCGTCGCCATCCAAATTATGTCTATCGACCAAAGCGTCGATCACATGGAACAAGCAGAAATCTATTCAGTAAAACATCTGGTGTAGTTCGTTCTATGGGCCCATCAGTGCCGCAAGTATCATTTGCACGGTGCGTTGGCGGCATCTTTTTTCTATCTTTTAATTGATTTGTTTTGAAAAATTCAGGTCGTTTACTTTTCAAAACATATATGATTTCCAGAATCACAAGTAAACTTGAAAGAATCAATTAAACTACAGGGAGTGATTAGTAGCAGTAAATGACTCTACAATTTAAAATAATTGCAATTTTAGATCGTATTTGCTTTGTCTGGTTTAACATATCATTATTTCATTTTTCCCGTAACTATTGTAATTGTACACTTTAGAAAATTGAAAGTGAAATAAATTCATGAGGGAAGTAAGTTTGCTAGAAAGTGATGCTGTTTCAAATTATGATTTTTTATCAGAAAGCATCATGAGCGCATTTCATTGCACGAAGTTTAAGAAAACTTTGCATATTTATCTGAAAAATTATCTGTAGTACTAATATCGGAGCACGTAGGTAAGAGTAGTTTTTTAAAGGTTTGATGATAACAAGCTTAAATAATCTTCGATTTTACTCAAAAATTTGATAGTAACGATAGCTGAAGTCTAAAATAAGGTTTTCCTAAAAATGATAAAAGATAAAAGTTTTAAATAATTGTTGCAATCAATTTAATTTTAGAATTTTAAAATAATTCAATATTTTTTGCAAACAAAACTGGGATTCTTTAATTTAATATTTTTGTGGAAAATGTCAGATCTGGCATTCTTTAGTATATTTTTTTAGTGAAAATTACTGATTTATTTTTGTGGTCAAATGAAAATGATTAAAGATTATTCTGATATTTAGAAATTACAAAACTTCGTTTAATGTCTTAGCAGTATAAAATGATGCGAGCGCAGTACCAGAAACTCAAGTGATTGTGTTATGTGTTCAGATATGGGTTGTTCATGATGAGTTGTGGCTTTAAAAAGCATATTGTTTACTTATTTTTTGAGCAAGAACTAAATTATCAAGTCCAGAGATTGTGATTAATAGATATTATTACTTTTTAGTTACTAAAGTAAAAATTATTCAAAAAAATTCACGCACGAAGTTTTGTTACCTTTCTGAGAGAGTGATATATACAAAATTATAATTTTTTCTCCTAAATATTCCATTGTTTAAATATCAAATTGCTATTAAAGATACATTTGGTAAAAATTGGAACTTGCAGATCGAACTCGTTACCAGTATTGCCAGCAGTGTCTGAAGACATTAGGAATATATTATTGGCTCGAATGATGCAAGAACAGCAAAACTCCTTTCTATTAGCAGCATATAGCAATCAGTTATTAGCAGCTACAGCTTCTACTACAGCTCTTAAGGATTATTCAAATTTAGATTTAACTAATCAGCTAGTAAGTGAACAAAAATTGAAACTTTTATAATACTCTATACTGAAATTATAAGAATTTATAAATTGTTTGCTTTCTAAAAATATGTAAATGCTTTCAGAAACAAAAAACTCCAGTTGCTACCACTGCTGCATCCATGTTAACATGTAGCACTGCAACAACCGGTAATGCTCACTCGTCAACACCTGAACAGTTCAATGCATTTTCAGCTTTACCTTTATTGCAATCATCTTTTAATGCGATAAATAATCCGCTTGGTTCTCAATTTAATCCTTTTCATTTTAGTTAGTTTTTTTTTCAAAACAGTAATTTTATATTATCTACTTTCTCGTCGTAAGTTAGTCATTTGATTAATTCATGTTTATGATAGTAACTATCTCTCTATGAATTAGCACTGTGCGCTTATTAGTTCTGTTTTGCTTCTGTTTGTGATGTTACATGCCGTTTGAATTTGTTCATGAGGTTTCGTAGTATAATTGTACTTTTGTCTTTTTTGTTTTTCATCCAACATTATATAGTTTGTTGAGTTTTGCTTGATGAGAAGAGGCAAACATTCGAGTCATTACAATTAATGATTTCAGTGTAAATATGCAAAATCAGCTGGTTCTTTATGATAATTTGTTTGCTTTGTGCTTTGCCACTGCTTTTATTCTCTTTGTTTGCATTATTTCTGGAACATATCTTGAAAAGAGCGATAAATTAGTATAAAAATATTCATTATTTCATTTCCTATATTTTTTATTCATGAAGAAAAAAGCATCAAATTAACATCTATCAAAATCTGACGGGTGATTTTTCTGCATAAGACTGTGAATGTCTTTTGTACGGGTGATCATTTATATTTTCTGCTATTCAAATCATTTTCAAAAAATTTGTTTCATATTATAAACAGTTGGAGCAGGCAAAAAAAGATTACAATTTAAGAAATCATAAACTGTGATCGAAATCTGCAAAGTGTGTTAAGTTTTCAATTTTGTTATTAATTGTCTTCGTGAATTTTGTATATTTTTTCCATCACTTTGTAAATATCTGAATTTTCTGAGCAGATATGCTATGAATGGTGTATTCGTTCATTTTCAATAACTATTTACTAATTGCAAGCTGAAACACTATGAGGTTTTTGTATATGTTTGCATCGATCTCATCACTTCATTCCATTAGTTACATGATCAGATATGCAAATTTTATCACAATAACAATTAATGGTTTCGACTCATTGAACTTTATATAATATGAAGATTTCGCAGAGTGTAAATCAAAAGTTCTAGTTGTTTATCATACTTTCGGTATCATTTTATTCTTTCTTGTTAATTATCACTGGGGAAATATATATATCTAGCATACATTGTATAAATTTTTGATTTTTTCCGCAAAAGAATCATTCATTCCTTGCTCAAATGCATGGCCCGTTATGTTTTTATAATTTTGTACATTATTGCATATTTAACACGCTTTTTTTGTCATTTTCATTTTTAAACAATAAATGCAATAAAGATATTTTTTCTGCTTTTATAGTCTTTTACATATATGAATTCAAATTGAAAAAAGTTGTCATATCAAAGTGTACTGCTCATTGTTAGAGCGCAAGTAATGTGAGCGTTGCAAGAAATGATGTGAAATTTTGGGACTGCGATTTTAGGTCTGAAATAAGTATTGCGTACTGGAATCAAACTTTAAGAACTCATGGGGTCTGAGTAATCATTTGTGGAGTTTAACTTATTTTAGACCTAAAATGTTAGTATCCTTCTGGTATTGTATGATAGAAGTAAGCAGAAGACATTTTATTGAACTGGAGTTCAGGCACAATTCATTCGGTTTGGTCAGACTTCAGTTCCAGTCAGATAAGCTTTTGTCTTTGAAATTAGGATTAGGTATTTTTGGGTTTAGAGTTCAGATGAAAGCAGATGTGCTGCTAATTTAGGCGTTGGCTAATGGAGGTCAAAGTAGAAAATTATATTAGGTAGTGGTTATATAGTTAAGGTGGAGATAAATGGTCTGAGATGGTAGTTGTGGGGCTTTGCACGAACCGAAATTTGGAAGTATAATTACTATTATGACAATGCTAGTATCCTTTTGGTATTTAAATTTGCTTTTCTTGTCAACATTTCGCTTGTTTTGGTATAACAATAATTTTGGTATCGGAGGTATTCAGTGTTATGTGATTTTTACCAGCACAGTAGGCAGTTATGTCATTGGTAATAATTACCTGAAAATGTCATACAATAACTTGCGTACATGCTTGAGGGACACTTAAAGTACGCATAAAGAGTAATTACGCAAATAATGATTATTCGATTATAATTGTTAGCTAGATAGTGCGCCAGATTATGCACAATTTAGCAGATCAAATCTCTCATCAATAAATAATGTTATGCGCAACTGTAGCAAAAATGCTGATGACGTAACGGTTAGTTTGGTTTTATAATGCTGCCTGTAGATAAGTTCAGTCTTTGAATGTAATACTAGTCAATAAACATAAATTATTGCTGAGAATTAAGTCAGAGTTATATTCCAAAATGCCTTTTAAGTTACTTATATCCGTTATGCTCGATAATTTGAAATTAACTTGATACTTGAGAAGTTTCAAAGACTAATCATTCTGCTCACTTGGGAACTCGATGATTACCTGTATGTGGTCTTGAAATCGTCTTTGCACATCAGCGCAATGAATAACTATAATAGATGATTTAGGAACTTCAAATTGCTGCTCTAGGATACTATCCTTCGACTTCTTCTTACTTCTATCAGAAGACTTGATTTTGCAGCCTTGACCCACGTGTAAGGTCACGTTTTTACCCTGAATCAGCTGACAGTCATTTCCGTCATTAGTTACACAAGCAAAGCATTTCTAATATTTCATAGAAATAGATAGATATTCAGTGTTAGATTGATTTCATGTGAAACAGTATTCTATGATTAAAGTATACTGCAATTAATTAGCATCTCTTCTAATAAGAAAACGATCTGACTTTATTTCGAGTCATTTATAATTAATCTGAAATAGATCAAGACACGCTGACTTATTATTCTGTACTTATATAACCCATGGAATAATCCAGTTACCTATTAAATAACCTTTAACATCATTCAAATACATGTTGACATTTTAATCACTTCAACGATAACTTTTGGTTAAAGTTATTAATTAGCAAAATTTGTTGATTTGAAAAGGAATAAAAGTTGTGCTTTTAACTTTTGAAGTATTTTTCGCTAATTTTTTTTTTGAATATTTATTTATACGTGTAAAGTTACGATTGCTTTGTTAAAAAATTGCAAACGATTATTTTTTCTCACATCAACAATAACACTAATATTGCGTGGGATAAATATCGGTACACTTGATTGCGCGATCACTGATGTTTGGTGATTAACTGATAAGCAAAGCATAGGAATTACTTCATTAATTATCTAAACTTTCTATTTTAAGGAAAGAAAATCAGCAAATATATATAAATTAAGTGTAAATTGGATCTAACTACGAATTATTTTCAAAGTACGTTCAGTTTTAACTTGTATTATTAATAGTGAATCGCATTTTACTTATTATTAACTAAGAGCAATTACATAACTTGAAGCATATTTTGAAAACAAAATGGTCATTTTCATTAATTAGAAATGAATAACTTGAAATGCAAATTGATCAGCTTCTTTCTCCACGTCAATATAATGCCAGATGGAAACCGGGCCATCACGAAGAATTTTATATGATTTTTTACCTGGCATAGCTGGACATTTTAGCAAATAGTGATTGTGGTCAATATTATACTGCATTCTATAATGATAACAAAGAATAAAATTATATTAGCATTGGATTTGATAGATTTTCTAATACTAATCAACAGATAATTATTACGAACGTTAATTAATAAAATTCACTTAGCAGTAATTAATACGTTGAAAACTTCCACAAAGTTAATGAGTCATAATTGATAGGATTATAAACTGATAACAGTCGTGAAAATTAATGCTTCAAAAGTTATCAGGCAAAAAATTTATCATTAAATATTAATAAAGAAGATGATAAACAAATATTATATCATTCTATACCAAACGATTTGATTATTGCAATTTCTGTCAAATGTAAATTGCAAAAAAATATCCACTTAAAGTTAATCACTACTTCTAGCAAAAATAAAAACGGAATGATTGACAAAAATTTTAACAAATCGCATAGAATTTTACAACAAATCAACAAAAACAAATTTTACAAAAAGGTGAAAGGTTACCAAGATAAAAAGGTTCCTAAAACTAGAGTCACATTAAGATTCATTAAAGCAAAGCTAGCACAAAGATTTGAGTAAAATTTGCTTACGTAAATTTGAAAATAAAATAATACTACCAACCAAATTGATTTCAAAGGTATAAATATTATCAAATCTGATGAAAACTAAGAATGAATTTAAATTTATGCTGAGAATGCCAATTTTTTGCATATTTGTGTTCATTTGTCTGACATTGTTCGCTCGCTATATCCGTAAATTCTTGAAAAAATTTGACCTTTACAACTTAGTTAGATTCGTATTTTTGCAAGGCTATATTGATTCAGCTCATTTACTCTATTTATTATCAAATTTGTTATTCTGAATTCTCATATATTCGTTTTTTCATCAAGACTAGATCTTTTGTCACTCTTTAAAGTAAGCTAGAAATTAAGTAATAATTCAGTACCAAGTCTTTATATTTGATTCTGAATGCATTTTAACTTGCTTCAAAAATAAAGAAATCCGAATACTTCTTTGCATCTATACTTATGTAATACATATTTTCAACTGCTTATTTTAGGTTCACGTTAGTTACTGCAGGTTATACTAAAATTCATTGAAAAATACTAGAAGTATTGATGATTATTAGTACTTTTATTACTTGAATGGTAATGGAATTACTATTTAAAAAATGTAATTATATTTACACTTCAAAATAAGCGAAAACAATTCACTAACTTATTTAAGACTGAGGAAAATTAATATTCTGGAAATTTGATAGCTATTTTTCAATATTTAATGGATATTCTTGCATTTCTTTGCTTAATGAACTCTCTTCTGAGCTTTTTAGAAAATAAGTGATTGTTTAACTTTCATCGACTAGTTTTTTTTCATCGACTAAATTAACTTTCATCGACTAGTTGAATAGTGCTGGTGATAATTAACTTCACGATCATTTGATAAGGCAGCATAACTGGGTCAACTTGTTATACTGACCTTATTAATAGAATATCAAATTCCCTCAAAACAGTTTGATTTGAGGTAATTTGCAATTATGAATCATGTTAATCATCAATCGCTGACCAGTGGATTAACGGAGTACCAGCGAGCAACTTTAATTTTCTGCTTGTATTTTTGAAGTACCTTTGGAAGAGGTGGACACGTTAATAATAATATCAAAGGTAAACGTTAATAATATCAAAGGTAAACGTTCGAAGAAATAATAATAAGAGCACTGGAAATAACGAAAGTTAAGAGGCAAAGTGAAAAGTTTTCCCTGTAGAAATGGTCACTGAATATTCTGAGAATAATTTCTTATTATTATTTGTGTGAATGAGGAGAGATAACGAACTTTTGACCTCGCGAAGGATCAAATAAACGTTTGCTATCCTTCACGTGTAGTACTTTCTCTTCTTCCAGTCAAGGTTGCCATCTTCTTTCTACTGCTAAAATCTTACACAATTATCTTGAAATTATCTTTGAAACGTGATTATACATGTATATTCTTTCACGCTACTCTAAGTCAACATATGAATAATATTGAGATTTGAATTTAGCATATACTAGTTCATATTAATGTTCAACAGACATTTTATGTAGTAAATAATGCAATTTTCACGTCATAATATCGATCAGTTAGATGTTTATGAAGTATTTTCACGTTTTCCTGTTTTGACGTTAATGTTGCAATTAAAAATAGCAGACATAAAATGTGAAAATAATTGCACAAAACTATTAAATGAATCAAAAATGTATTGCTCACTAAAGCACAAAATGTCTTTAAAATAATAAATAGCATTATGAGAAATAAAAATGCTGCTGTTTTAAATTAAATCTCTTTTTTATTCCTTTATTTGAAAATTTAAATTTTTTATTACTTTTAAATTTTATTTTACTTTTTTATCAAAGTGCAATAATACTAAAAAAGTGATAGCTTTAATTTTTGATAATTTATTCCATTTTGTTAAATATACATACTTTTGGCTATTCTTTACTAAGTAATTGGAGGTTTTGATAAATAATTGAAGTGAAACCAGTCTTGCAGCATTCAATTACATTTTCGAAGTTAGTCTGTTTTTTATCGAATCTTTTTTTATAGCAAAATAAAATTTCCGAGTTTCTTTCGTTTTTTGCTCATTTTTAATAGCATATTTTGTCTTTTATATATTTTAAAAAGTCTATTTCTACTTCTTTACTTGTTTTGGTATTTAAAAATTTGGTAAAATTTAACTGCCAGTAATAAGTTTTATTTTATTTTTACTCATTTTGTATCCTGTTTTTGCCATCGAATTTTAAGCATTAATAAAAATATTATTTTTAATAAATATAATTAATTAATTAATTATTCCCTTAAAACATTAGCCAAATTTTTGTTTAATAATCTCATTTAATCAGTCATTTTTATTATCTTTGTTATATCACTTTTTAATAGATAAAACAAATTGTTTAATCACATTAAAAAATATCAAATTTATTAAATAATAAAGTTGTATTCAAACTTATTTACTGCATTTTATTTGCGCAGTAATTTAATTTTGATACTCATTTCATATATTAGTCACTTTCATAATTAATAAATAATTTTTTAATTAAAAAAAAAATGCAATATCAGATATCAGAGAAAATCATTTTTCTACGTGATCATGACTGCTGAATATTTGATATAATAGTTTAAAAAAATGAATATCATTAATAATAATGACAAAATAATAGTGTAAATATTAATTAAATATTGATGAGCGATAATAGTGATAAAAAATGAGTGCTATTTATTGCAAAAATTTTCTCCTTCGTTATTATCATCTATTATATTTATTTATATGAGAAAATATGC